TAATTTGAGGACTTTTTTTTTCTATCAAGACATAAAAAAAAAAAAAAAGTGTAACAGAATAATTGTCAAAAGCAAATTACCAGTAGCACCCTTGTTGGCACTTTTAAGACTCCATAAAAAAGTAGCTGAATCAGTTTTATAAATTTGGTCTGAACTGTTTTGAAAGATTTTTAAAGGAGTGTCTAAGACCTGACATAAATCGTTAATTGCTGTTTCCCCTTATATTTAAGTACAGTCTGACAAAAAGGCCACTGGCAATTAGTCTGGGACAGAACCTGCATTTATTTGGCCGTCGTGCAAGACAAAGAGTCGTAGGATCCTCAAGTTTTCTTAAAAACCAATAAATACTTCTAAATCCACCATCACATACGTAAACATGTATGTGGATTTTGTTTTAGCTGTGTCCCTGGCATCTTTTTTTTTCCCCCTGCAAACTCTTCCTTTTCCCTCCTGGGGAGCGAATTGGCTTGATACCACTACCTCTTGTGTATTGGAGCTGTCCTTTTAAAACACAGACATCATGAGACTTGGCGATGGTGGGATTGGAAAATGCTGGAGAACCCGTCCTAATTAAAGCCAAGCACTCATCTATGTCATTTCACGATGGGAAAGTCTTCGGTCCCTGACCACGCTCTGCAACAACTGCACCTTAAAAATTATGAGAAACATAAAAAATAAAAAAAATGAAAAAAACAGAAGCAAAAGCTTATAAAAACACCAGTTTGCAATAAATTTAATTCCATTTTAACTTTAATGATATCGCAATTGCGTGGCTGCAAGATCCCCACTTGTCCTGCAACAGCGGGGCAGACGTTTGTCTGTATTTCTCCTGAAAAGGGAAAAAAAAACAAAAAAGGGACTCATGCCGAATGAGAGGCAACAACTCTGATTTGAGTTACTTAAGATGATGCCCAAACATTAAAGGCACAATCGACATTATTACAATGACTATGTCTGATACATTTTTACTTGATTCATAGCTTCTTCATCAGTAACTGTGATTTCTTAACATTAGACTAGATTTGCACATCCTTCCCAGTTGTCAGGGTTGGCGACAATGTATCACCTCAAACAATAAGGTAGGAACCCAAAAAAGGG